GTCTACAACTCCCTGAAAGGAGGGTCCAGAGGGAGGGGGGTTGGTCTCTTCTCCCAAGTGACAAGATAAGAGGAAACATCCTCAAGTTGCACCAGGGGAGGGTTAGGTTGGATATTAGGGAAAATGTCTTCCCAGAAAGGTCTGTGAGGCACTGGAACGAGCTGCCCAGGGAGGTGGTGGAGTCACCATCCCTGGACGGATTTAAAAGACATGTGGACAAGGCGCTGAGGGACATGGTTTAGTGGGGGTAAGAGCAGTGCTGGGTTAAAGGTTGGACTTGGTGATCTTAAAGGTCTATTCCACCGTAAAAGATTCTATGATCAGTTGATGTGTACCATCAGCCCACCGCCTGGAGATGATCCTTGTAGGTCCCTTCCAACCAAACAATTCTATTCTATGCTAATTACCATGCCCACAAAACACTTCCCCAGTAATTCCCTTCCGCAGGGAAAGACTCACTCTACAGATGAGTGGTCCTTGCCCTCCCACTGGCAGTGGGACAGGGAGTTGAGATATGGACAAAGAACTGTCCCCAAAGACTGTTGGACACCAGTAATTCGGGTGAGGCAGATGGCAGTTTCTTGGTCGCTGCTCACCACCCTAATGAACAAACACCAAAACAAATCACAGGAGTTTGACAGCTCCTCTCGGGCAGGTGTTGGATCTTCTGCCAGAGGGTCTGTTACTCAACTGGATGGTGGAATCCAATTCAGATTTAAGTGCATCCAGTAATTACTAGTATTTGTTTAGATTTACATCTTTTTGAGCAGCATACAAAGTGACTGAGAAATAAACCTGCTTATTAACAGATTGAAATGCCGAGCGTCCCTGCAGTGCATGTGAAAATGAATTTACCTCCCGTACAGCTCAAGAAGGCAGGAAACCGCCAGAAAACAGCACCTCAAATAACCTAGCAAGCTCCAGAGAAGAGGACGATGGACATGAGGCACGTACACGAAATGCCACGATTTTCATTCACCTGGCGAACAGGATTTCTGCGGTGACATTACCCAATTACACAAGACAGCAACGTTTGCTCAAGTCACTCATCCTGCAAGGGAGACAGCCCTTCCCTCCCTGCTCTTCCCAAAGAACCCCAGCTCAGAAAGCACAAAACGGTGACAATTCTTAAAGCCAGACCAAGACGCACTGGGTGGTCACGTAGTAAGTCAGGAAGCTTTCCGTATCAGCCTCCTTTTAAGGACAGAACCGTCACGTCGCACACTCAACCCAACGCTCAGCATCAAAAGCCTACACATACATCCTCTCCGCAGCCCGGCGGGCAACGCTTCACAGATGACAAGCGGGGATTAAAGACGCAAATATTGATCTGGAGCCAATGCAGATGCGAAGGGAGCACGCAACAATCAACACTGACTCAGACTTCAATTAATACAACAAAACCGCCACGGGTCTCATTCGGAAGGGTGCCGAGCAGCGGCAACCGCCTGCCTTCCGAGGCCTAGAGACGCTTGGAGCTCCTCAGAAAGCAGCGCATTGCAGGTACGCGTCCCTCCAACCCACATCAAAGGGAACAGCAATAAAAACATGGCACTGGCAAAGGAAATAACTCCAATAACCTTGGAGAGGCAGAAAATAAATCATTTTTAAGTGCTGGAAATAATAGCAAATAGGATTAACGTGATTATTTTCTGTTGTGATCTACCATGGAGATCCAAGACTATGGATTATGTGATTTTCATGCGGTGAAAAAAACCATCCCCACGTCCCACAGGAATATTTGTACCGGGCGGAAGTCTGGATGAGAACATTAATTATTCACAAGTCAAAAATCAACAAATGGCAGTATATGTTGGCTCAAATGATTTGGCAAACGCGCTTTTAAAGACCTTTTCAATTAAGCCATTGCTTCAAAACTGTCATGGGGTTTCAGCTCCTGTTAATTGAACCGCATTATTAATATTCACGGTTACACATGGAGGTTGCCTTTACCTCATTCATACACCTGGCTTACGTCGTCCTGGATAAACACAGGCATGTTCAGCTTCAAAATACTAACATCAAGTATTGCTTGTTTTGGGGGGAAAAAAAAACTCAAAAATAAAAGAGCCCTTTGCTAGTGCTACAAGAGTCGAAGTGCTGAGAGGGCTGCAGCGTGGCAGCATGAAGGGGCACGAAACGGAAGAACCTCCTGGACCACATTTTCTACCAGGACACATTTTTCAGTAGATTCCACATCTCTCCCGGCTATTTAAAACCTGAACCGCCTCCAGCATCTGAAAGCAGTGTGGGAGGTTTGAATGCACGGCTAGAGGGGAAACCACAGAGTAATCCCCCAAATGAACACAACGATATAGAAATAAATAAGCTTTTATTTTTATGACCCGCTCACTCACTTTGTTATTGCAGGTAGGTGTGCAACAACGGTACAAACCAACCTGGCTGTCAATCAAATGGCTGCAAACACACCGCTATGTCAGGCTATTATGCCCCTAATCATGCAAATCAGCATGTTATTAGCGAAATTACTGTGCTCAGTGGCCGCCTTCTTGTCCAGAAAGGACATCATTACCCTACTTAACTGGAAGGAGATGACCTGCAACGTCTTTCCTCCCAGCTCTGTACTGAAGATCTGCTTTTCCCTTGCTGGAAAAGCAGAAGGGGAATCCCAGCCTGGAGCCCGGCTAACTTGGGGGGCAGCAAGGAAAAGACATGTCCGATGCAGACAGCAAAACACACCCACAAAGATCAGAAAAGGCACCGCTCTCCCGCCTTCTCACGACCTCCGTGCAGAACCAAGGCGGGCAAGCTTAGGAGAAGTGCTCTGACTCCAGCTGACCTCCTCCAGACGAGCGAGCGTCGGGCGCGCTACTGAGCGCAAGGTCAGCAGCTGTGCTGCAGGAAAAGAAAGGGGACGGCACAACAGACCCGTACCAAATTACAGCCCGGTCGCGCGAGCAGAAGCCGTCGCGGCCAAGAGTTAACAGCGCTCAATATTTACCCAATGGTTTATTCATTGTGGCGACAGGAAAAGTCATCCCCTGTGTATCCTCAGCTCAGCAGGTCAACTGAGAAAAAGCCAAGGAAGTGTTTACTCATGCACTCTAATAAGAGTGATGAACGTTTCACACAAATAGAAACATTTCTGAAAGCAACTCATCTCTCCCTGGCTGATGAGTCTCTCAAACAAAACACGGTTTCATCAATATTCTGACTATGAGGAGAAAATATCTTTTTCTAGTAAATTCAAACATTCATCATCAAAAGAACACCGCTGCGCATCACCCAGGGCTGCATTCAGACAAACCGGGCACGGACTAAAGGGTCATGAGGAAGACGATACGTCAGCCCGGAAAAAGCCACGGAGAAACACCCAGGACTGGACTGTGCTTCCAACCAGACTGGATTGGGCACGAGAGCCAAATCCCCTCTCCTGCACAGAGACCCTCCCTGCTTCTTCTAACGCTATTCCACAGTCGGCCACCTGCCTGCGGTCCTGCGAGCCAAAATGCCTCCCAGAACGGCATCTGGGGAGTCAGAACTGACCACGAGGCTACAGCTGGGCTGCAACCGGGCCCCAGCCACTCCTCCTCTCTTCCAAAGACATTATCTTTATGCACATAAACTGGCGATAAGCTAGAAGACTCGTTAATTGAGCAGTTATGCTCATACAGGGATAAATTACTCCCTCTCCTGCAAGAGCATCCCCACTTCTGAACCTTGGGCTGCTCCCTCTATCCCGCAGTCCATCTGCCGTGGGCTGCTGCAAGCTTTCCAAGGCTGCACGCTCCAGCCTGGGAAACAGCGTTCTCTTAATTAAGCCCCCAGCAAAGCACACCGGCTCTAGAGCAGAATTCAGTCAACGAGCGAGGGGAACTTAATGACCATTGAGATTTTCCTGTGTCTAGTGAGGCCAAACACCCAGGGTCAAACCCCAGATAGAGGGAGAGGCCAGGAAGAGCGCTTTAACACCACAATTGCATTTCCGTGGCAAGCTGTAGGACCCTAAATAAAGCAGTTATTATGATGACAAGTATTTTGGGGAAGCAGCGGAGCTGTGAGTCCTATGGCTGGTTTGCCTCTGGCCACAACGGCAAAAGCAGGGAGGAGATCCAGAAAAGCACAGGCTCGGGGAATTCACCTGCTCCCGTCGTAACCACGCTTGAGCAGGCACTGCAGCTCGTAAGCTGAGTGCTTGCTGAGGAGTCCTGGGAAGAGAAAGCAGAATTCTTTCCAACGTCTAAAGGCAGACAGACACCAGCAGTGTGAAGGAGGCAGTACTGCGAGCCTAGTCCCCCCACTTCCCAAGTTCTAACAACTTTCCCTGCCTTCCTTGGGAAGCAGGTATATACAAAGCGCTTCGTTCCCCAGCAGCGTTAACTGGCCAACATCAGCAGGCCCCTGGCAAATCCCTACCTTGGCTTGGACGGCGTAAGAGGCCAGCAGGACAGAAGCTTCAGGAGGACAGTAGATCTTCTCATCCAAAATCTGCTTCTTCACCTGCAGAGCAGCAAAGGACATGTAACACACATTTAGCAGAGCAGTGAAAGCGTGACTGTCGCAGCAGATGGTTGCAGTTTGTTTGAACTCGAGCTGTCAAGCCCACAGTTCGCAATTTTCCTAACACTAAACCCAATTCAGGCCCAGGAAGTCTCTGGTGGGTCGGAAGGGAAGGGCTCAGGCACTCATGGGCCACCTTTTTCAGACAGCTTTGTGAGAAGAGCTAAATTTACACAAGAAAAACGGCAGAGCCTGTATCCCATTGCTAAAGGCAAGGGAGGGCGGAAAGTCAGGCATGTAAACACGGAGCTAAAACCTCTTAAGGCATAAGCTACGGATTGATACCATCTATACACAACACTAAATTAAAAAAGAAGTTTGCAGCTGAGTCTCTGAGCACACAAAGGTTTTGCTCTGGGATATTCAGGCCTCAGGATGAGTCAGTGCTCACCTGTGCTCGAGGCCAGCCCCTCCAATCCCACTGACAGCAAGGAGAGCCGCGGGTCGCCTTCGTGGCAGTGCTTTTAGCAGCCGGCAAAGCCCTGTGGACGCTCCCAGGAGAGCCAACGTGCAGCTCCCAAAAGCCACGGCTTTACGTTTCCTGGCTTCTGTGCATTAAAAAATTAAACCTGTCATGTTCGATATATTTTGGTTTTGCACACTTAATTTTCCTCAAAAAAGATAGGGAAAAAAGCATATGATTTCCTGGGAGACTTAAATGGATTGTCACAGAGATGCAGTAACATCAATTTGAATTTATAACATGCTCCGAGTCCTCAAAGTTGGTTACGACATAATCACAGAAGATATTCTCCTGCATTAAGATAAAAACAGGAGAGTTTACAAGCTTATGTGTGTTCCCATTTCCCACACACGTTTCAGGAGCCCAGGCTGCTCTCATCATCAGAAATCCTACTAGTTTAACTGCTTTTCCTCCCCAGTGTTCCTTTTCAGAGATGGCAACAACATTTTTCCTCATCAAGGATAAAGCCCATGGCAAATCGGACATTTAAAAATAACCCTAAGGAGACATGAGTGCACAAGACAGACCTTGGCAATCAACAGCAATATTTTGCCTTTACAGGTCCTTTAGCTTGAAGAACACAGATGAACTTTGGCAGAGTGAGGAGTAGCAAGAAGCTGGTGAGCTCGCTCTGACAGCTAGCTGAAAGGGCAGGGCACACTGAAGTCTACAGTGGCATCTCCAAGAGCATCCAAACCCAGGTTGCCTCTCCTCTGGTGTAACAAACATAAGAATGAGTGTCTCTCTTTATTTTTATAATTTATTCATTTTAGAAACGGCAAATTAACAGCCACAGAGCAGCTCCAACATCCCAGTAAGTACCCAGGGGTCTGACTACTCTACTCCCCGTAACGGCAGTCGACACAACCCTTTGTAGGAAACAGTTTCAGAAAACTGATGTCGTCTGAAAGAGCTCCTGTGATAGCAGCTCTTTGTTACCAGCCCTGCAGCATTGCTCCACAATGCCAGCTGAGCTGATTCCTCAGGACACAGAGTTTTGAAGCACGCTTTAAATAAAGATAAAAGCTTGAAGATGCGTTCACCACAGTCTGCAAACGCCTAACATAAGGGCACGTTACTGGGGCAGGCAGGACCGTTAGGTCTCCCCTTCTCCTCTGCTTTTGCCTATCAGTCTCTGACAGAGCCGTGCTACTGGGATTTCCTTCTGCTCCAGTTATTTGAAGGCTGTTTTGTGAAGAGGTGTGCGCTGCTGTACAGCTTGAACACAGAACAGGCTGGCTGCAGTCTGTTCTGGAGGATGAAATTCCCCTGCTTCACGTAACGACGCTATCGCGTACATGGGCAGCTGCCACCCCTCAGCAGGGCTGATATCCACACCCTGCGCAGAGGTGGACTCCAAGGCCGTGCGCGCCACTCGAGCCCACAACCGACAGATTCATCTTCCCTCGCTACCGCACGCTAACATTACAAATCACCTAATCGCTCCCGACAGCCAGTTTACGAGGTCTGCGAGCCTCATCCAAACCATGTTTGACCTATTTTGGGAAGTTTTTGTTGTTGAAGAGAACTCCCTTTTGCAGAGGTGTAAACAGAACGATGAGGATCCACACTCTGCTGACCAGCTTCCTGACCCTGAAACCTTCTCGCACTTCTGCTCATCTGGGCTGCACCTCCCTTGGGCTGGAACCCAGTGTATTGACACAGCTCCTACCTGGAGGAAGAACAAGTGCTGTGTGATTTCCTGGACCAGTTCCTCCTCTGCGTTCTCGGGATAAAATTTGGCCAGGAAATGAAAGGTGACGGGCTCCTCTGTTGGAACATCGTGATCCAGAACCTGTGGGATACAAGAGCCATTTGAACTAGTCCTTCCAGCTTCTTCAGCGCTCCGTCTCTTGGAGCCAAGACACAGTTCCCTTCTGTTCAGATCAGCACATCTTTTGTCAAGCATTTTAGACATCTACAACAGACAAACCAACCTAAGTAGTTCAGACACCAGTTAAAAAAAGAACACAAACAAACATTTCTGACACTCCTAAAGATGCAAGAAAACAAACAAGGCAGAAACAAACAGCATGCAAAATGAGACAGCAAAGGCTGATCCCGATCTGCTGTGCGCACGTCGCCTGTTCTGAACCTCACAGAGCGATGCAACATCCTGCTACGCCACCATCTGACTTTCCCTGCACTGCCTCCTCTTGCATTTCAGCCTTGTCCCTCACGACCTCTCTACTGTGCTGGCACCATCCAGTTCAAACTCGCCTTAGCTTCAACCCCTGGCATGACACGCGCAACACACAGACCTCCCTCACAGTCTCAATGACCGTCTGGTTTCAGTGTGACATCCTTTGGATGCAAATAGAACTGCAACTATCACCTCTCTAACCCACCCCTCAGCAACCTGGAGGTGTTTGGAAAACATTTCCTCCCTTATATCCATCTCCTCTTCACCCCTCTGGTTTTCCTCCTCCCTAGCTCCTTGTCCATCTCAACAACAAAAGAAGCCAAGATGCAACTTCACCAACTGCTAAAGGTTTTGTCATTCAGGGGCAAAGAAGGGAGACTTTTAGGTTTTATGTTAATCACCGGAAAGCCCAGCATGACTGTCTCCCAGAATGCCTCAAGGGGATTCAGCGTGCACAGTTTGAGGCTTCACAGCTCCGAAGGAGCTGGGGTGGGATATCTCTGCCCAGTTTGACTTAGAGATGTCACAGGGATAAGATTTAAATACACTTCACCCAGTTCACATCGATCCCACACCTAACACGACCTCGGGCACACAAAGAAAGAGGAAAGTACATTCTCCTTTGTCACCCCACACCACCGCTCAAGGGAAGTTTGGTTCCAACCTTCTTGTCCATTTTGAGCCAAGCCACCGTGTCCTTGATAGTGTACTGAAGCCCGAAGAACCAGGTTTCTCGGAGTCCTAGTGTCCTGCATACTAGATCGAACAGGTCCTTCCCTTTCCACTTCACCTGCAGGAAAGCAAAGAGGAAGCAGAGTTATAAAGGTGGATTTCAGAACTGCATCTCTGTTCAACTAAACCCACTCTTTTTTCACCTCACAAGGTCTTTGAGAGTGCGGAGAAGGCATCTGGTACAGATGATAATCCTAACCAAGCATACTATGTCCTTTCATCTGACCTCATCTGCAGATCACCTAGCAGGAAAGAGATGTGATTTCCCTCCTCCCAAAAATGACCATGCCCCCTGTTTCTTCCTCTAGCAACCTACCGACTCTCAACAGAGGACCTGGAGGGTCCATTTAGGTTCCTTTTGAGCCATGCACTGCCACGAGGAGCCTGCTTCCAGCAAGAAATAAAAATCACTCCTAACTGCCCCTTTAGTGCCTTTACTGTCTCTCCCCATAGCCCCAGGAAGCCCTGCACAGGCTCCAGCATTGGCAACGGGGTTTCAGAGACAAGGGCATAACAGAAATCAGAGTGAAATGACCTCTGTAGGAAGCGTGTTCATCCCGAGCTACCAACCCTGCACACGTGAAAGGGAAAAAGAGCTCAGGAAAAAAGTAATTATCACTGAAGTCAGCAGTTCTCTCGAAGCACATTTTGATAGAGTCAAACCCCATTTTCTGCTGAAAATGTTAGTGACAAAAGCAGCTCAGGAGCAAAGAAAATTGGTCCTGCTCAAAGACCATGTCCTTTGAGCAATCTTGCAGCTGCATCTATGTTGTTCCTAAGTTTGCTCATAAAAACAGAAGGCACTGGGAGGCAGAAAGGTGAGGAGGGACATAAAACAGATGAATCTAATATGCCAAAGCCACTTTGGTCTTCCATCTGCACGGTGCAAACAATTGCTGGACCGAGACATATGGCCATTACTCTAAAGCCCTAGGGCAAAAGGATCTCGGCGCATTCTCTTGTCACTACAACTCAATCTTGGTGCCACCTGGACAGCATCAATATTAATGCTCAGACGCGGCGACACGCCGCTCCCGCTGTCACCCACTGCCGCCTTGTGGGAGAAGCCGTGGAGGACAAGCTGATTGCCATTCTGCTGGCTCTGATCAAATGTGTGTATCGCTATTTTCTCCCCCTCCCAGGGCACGCATGCTGACAGTCCCAGAATAGAATAAAGCTGATGCCACCCTCCAAAAAACCCCCACCCCCGGCCGGCTCACCACAGCCTCTCCGCAATTCGCATCAAGCGCCGTCAACACCTCGAGGTCAAAAGCACCAGGAGGAGAGAGTTTTGCAGCATTGTAATTATGAAACCTTAATTTCACACATTGAGCTAGCCCCCAGTCCCCGCGATGAGCTCCAGCTCAGCGCAGCCTGGCTCAGACTGCAGATCTTTTCCTGTCTTATTTTAAGTGGGAGTTAATTTGAGGTTTCAGACAAAACAGAGGGAAACATTTAAGCAGTTATTTTGTACCACTTCTATAGGCACGTAAAACCATCAACAGGCTATTTCTTAACTAGAATTACATTGCTTTGCGTAAAGCATTACTGGCTTTTTTGTCATTCTGCAGAGTCCCCATGTCAGCCCGTTGCTCTAGAGGGTGGTTGGTGCCTGCACGTGCATATCCCTGCACGCACATATCCTTGTGCCAAGCCTTTCCTAGGACAGGCTCCTGCTCCCAGGCATCACTCCACATCCCACGGGATGGGCGTTTCGAAGCTCCAGCCGCGATGAGGACTGCCACCCCACCAAACCTCCCCTGCAGAGTTTCACAGGCGCCCAAACCTTATCCACCACACTGCACCAGCTGCCACCACCCAAAGAGTTCCTTTCTCCCCCGAAAGCAAGCCAGCAGTTGGTTTCCAAGGCCAGCGGTGAGCATTAAAGCAGGAGCTTTGTGTGTTTTCCCCATGCTGCAATTTTAATTTGGTGACGGGAATATTTTAAGCGACTGCTTCTGCAGCTAGATTTTACACCGCTGCCCCGTCGCTGCACGCATCCGTTATGGCGTGCAGAAATATATCTTTAACGTTCCTGCCTGCACGGTGCTAAAGTCTCCAACCATAACATTGCACAGACATCCTCCCCGACTGTGCTGAATTACCTTCATTAAATATATAAATGGAAGAGCAGCCACGTTTATTTCAACATACATGATTTCATTCTACACCTCGGTACTTAAAATAACGATCTGCATTCAAGTGGCATCTTTTGACAGCTGAACTCCAACTGGTTTACAGTCATTCAGGACCTCAGCCCTCCTCTCCCTCACCTGATAGGCCTCGTATCATTAACCGCCACATTTCCTGGTCATAAAACACAAAGAAAAGACCCCCCCAGGCAGGAGGAGATGAAGTGAGCTGCTGTCCGAGGCTGGGCAGAGCAGCTGGGGCAGAGCCAGGACAGGCTGGCAGCTCCCCATCCTGTCCTCGGCCCGTAACACCACTCTCCGGCCCTGCACTAAAGTGACACCTGAAGCACAGAGACGATTTTGCCAGCCATTATGAGCTCCTGAAAACAAAACAAAGAGGCTTAGAGCAGAAAAATCCCATCAGCCGTATGCTCCATCTCCAAATAAAGAGCTACATCACAATAACCTTAACCCGACCCGCAGGACGGAGCCGGACGCGACCGCATGGCTTCAGCATCCTCGCTCCGGCGCAGGCCTGGCCTCTTGCGTTCGCAGCTTCGCCTTCTCCCGGCTGTTAAGATATATTTGGCGAGCCATTGGAGGGATACGTGGACGAGCTGCTTTATAAACAGGGTAAGCGCTGCAAGGCTGTTATTCTGCAGCACTGGAATTTATGTTCTTCACTAAGTACAGAGTGCTTACAATTTATCAGCAAAGCGTTTTAAGTAAACAGCTCTAAACACTTAAAACTCAGCAGCCAGTGGCTAGAATAGAGTACTTCCAGTGCGGGTTATTGGCATCATCTTTTTCTCCCGCGGAGACATCGCATTTGGCACCTATTAACAGGGTTTGCATTATTTATTAACCTGCACCAAGAGTCATTTCCGACTAGCAGGCAACCGGACAATTTATTTCGGCGCTCAACCTTTCTGTCAAGCCGCCCAGCCGCTCTTGAGCTAACGAGTCATAAACCAGAGGCAAAAAGGAGTGGAAGGGTTACGAGATCCCCTCGTCATGGGGTGAGGAGGAGGGAGGGCCAAGCGCTGCAGAGAATGGGCACCAGGGCACAAGAGGCTGCAACCGCTCCACGCGGGGAGGGTTGAGTGGGGGCTCTATGGAGAAGAGCGATTCCCAAAACCACTGGCATAGGCTGATGCTTTTCTCCCAGAAATGTCAAATTTACACCAGGTAAGTGGAAAAGGACATTTTGTAACCATTAAAAAGATTAAGGTTCCTCAGGCAAGAAGCTCTCCTCGGGCAACAGGGAGGCGCCCAACTCCAGAGGGCAGAACCTGGCTCAGACCAGGAATGGCGGATGGAGATCTCCCCTCCTTGCCATCACAAACACAAACCTGCAGAGCTTCAGCTATCCCAGGGGTCAGGCTGGGGAAGAAGGGCACAACCAAGTGATGGAGAAGGTTAAGGCACTGCTGAGCAGCTCAGCCCAGGCACGCTGCCTCCCAGGGCAAACCCATCGCACCCATCCCTCCGCACCCCACGCAACGCGACCGCTCTGCAGGAGGCACACTGTGACCTTGAAGAAATTACCAACATCTACAAAATGTTTTCCTGCACCAATTTTCCTTAAATAATGCAGAAAATGGCTTTTCACCTTAGCAGGTGGTTTTATTAAGCGTTAGTTCTCTGCTAGAGAAGAGAACGGAGCGCAGAGACCCTGTTGTCACGACACAACAGTCTGAAAGACCACAGAGGGCTGGGATCAAGCCCCAGGAAGAAATGCCCAGCGCCCACCAAGTGATGTTATTTCCATTTAGAAAGCTTTAACAGGAGGATGCGACGCCTCTGCGCTGAACCGGGGAGGGAGACGGCAGAAGGGCGAGGGCAGGGGCAACCCTCCACCAACCACCCGGGAAACAGTAGGTGGGCAGGCTGTAGCTGTTCCTCGCCCCACGAGGAGATGCCCAAACAACAGTTTACAGCTGAAAAGGAGATAAATGCAGTCTGCAGTCTCAAAGTTATTTCTCCTTCTGGACTTGAATGATAACAGGAGTGCCACAGACAACCATTTATTTGGATTTAAAGCCCATTTGGAGCAACCGGGGAATCAAATATGCAATATTCTTCCATTTTTTTTAAATAAAGTCATGTCAAATACTTTCAATTGCCATATCCTGAAGCACAAGACAGGGCTGTAAAAGTTATTTTTATTTACTAATGCTACACGACAACTCGATAATGAGCTTTTAATTAAAATCTATTTCTGTTAACCACCGAGGAGGCCAAAAACGCGCCCAGGCGTAACGACGCAGATGGTGCAGCAAAGCACATTGCGTGGTCTCTGCCCGAGACAGAGACAGAGTGGGGTACATGGGAGAACAAGCTGCTGCCACTCCGGCCAGCCAGCACCGACGTGAGCAGGAGAGGCGGAGGGGACAACAGCCGACGACATCCCAAACCCTCACCTCGTAAGCTGGGGGTGCACAGTTAAAAGGTTGAGCAGCAGCTCGATGCAAGGGAAGAAGCTCAGGGAGGACGAGAAAAGGGTCTTGTTCCTGCAGGGACCTCTGGCCTTCCCGTGCCAAGGGTGCATAGAGATAAGGTGAGGCAGAGGCATCTCCGTGCTGCTGTCACACAGTCTGCAGCACAGCACACTCCTTCCCACCCTGGGAAGAGCCATCCCAGAGCCCAGCCTGTGTGGGAGCTGACTGCTGATGGACACGGGGTATTTCACAAGCCTGACCTGCTCTGATGATATTTTGCACACTGATGCACTCTGAAAACAGAGAGCTTACCCCAGGGAAAGCCAAGCTAGGCTCTAAGAAGCCAGTGTTGTCAGCCTTAGGAGAGAGGGTTAGCCCTGCCCCGGCAATGGCAGGTTTACCTCGGAATGAAGCAAGGCTAAACCACATATGCTGTCAAATGCCTCTCTTCCATCTTAAGGGCTGTTTGATTTTCTAAGAAAGTG